TAACCCCCCAACCCCCTAACCCTAACGGATCTAACCCTAACCCTCTAACCCTAAACCCCAACCCCCTAAACCCCCAACCCTAACCCCCCAACCCTAACGGATCTAACCCTAACCCTCTAACCGGAACCCCCAACCCTAACGGATCTAACCCTAATCCTCTAACCGTAACCCCCAACCCTAACCCCCCAACCCTAACCCCCGACCCCCCGACCCCCCAACCCTAACCCTATGGACCCCCCCTCAGGTGATCCCCGCAAATGTGTCCCCCCAGCAACGGAACCCGGCACACTTGGTTCCCCCCTCATTTTGGTTCCCCCCCGGTGCGCCCCGCAAATGTGTCCCCCCGGAAACAGCACCCCGCACACTTGGTTCCCCCCTCATTTTGGTTCCCCCCCAGTGAGCCCCGCAAATGCGTCCCCACGGAAACAGCACCCCGCACACTTGGTTCCCCCCTCATTTTGGTTCCCCCCGATGCGACTCGCAAATGTGTCCCCCCGGAAACAGCACCCGCACACTTGGTTCCCCCCTCATTTTGGTTCCCCCCCGGTGCGCCACGCAAATGTGTCCCCACGGAAAGAGCACCCCGCACACTTGGTTCCCCCCTCGTTTTGGTTCCCCCGGTGCGCCCCGCAAATGTGTCCCCCCGGAAACAGAACCCCGCACACTTGGTTCCCCCCTCATTTTGGTTCCCCCCCGGTGCAACTCGCAAATGTGTCCCCCCGGAAACAGCACCCGCACACTTGGTTCCCCCCTCATTTTGGTTCCCCCCCCCGGTGCGCCACGCAAATGCGTCCCCACGGAAACAGCACCCCGCACAAATGGTTCCCCCCTCATTTTGGTTCCCCCCCCCCCGTGCGCCCCACAAATGTGTACCCCCGGAAACAGCACCCCGCACACTTGGTTCCCCCCTCGTTTTGGTTCCCCCCTGGTACACCACGCAAATGTGTCCCCCCGGAAACAGCACCCGCACACTTGGTTCCCCCCTCGTTTTGGTTCCCCCCCCCCCCTCGTTGGGGTCCCCCCTAGCCCCATGGACCCCCCCCCCGGTGCGCCCCGCAAATGTCGCTGAGCCGCGCTAAAATGGGTCCGGGCGGCGCCGCGCTAAAATGTGCCCGGGCCCATAACCCCCTAACCCTAACGGATCTAACCCTAACCCCCAACCCCCCAACCCTAACCCCCAACCCACCAACCCTAACCTCCAACCCCCCAACCCTAACCTCCTAACCCTAACGGATCTAACCCTATCCCTCTGACCCTAACCCTAACCCAACCCCCTAACCCCCCAACCCTAACGGATGTAACCCTAACCCTAACCCTCTAACCCTAACCCCCCAACCCTAACCCCCGACCCCCCAACCCTAACCCCCTAACCCTAACGGATGTAACCCTAACCCTCTAATCCTAACCCCCCAACCCACTAACCCCCCAACCCCAACCACCTAACCCCCTAACCCCCGACCCCCCAACCCTAACGGATCTAACCCCAACTCTAACCCTCTAACCCTAACCCCCCTAACCCCTGACCCCCCAACCCCCCTTACCCCCAACCCCCACCCGGCATGCTCTGGGCACCAAACATGGCCTCCTGGAAGCCCGGTGCCGGAAAACTACGCCTACCAGCATTCCCCAGGCAGCTGGCTTGACCCATCACAGGCCCAGTGTTCGAGAACTACATTTACCAGCACTCACTGGAACCCAAGCACTTACCGCCCTTTCAAAAAAGCCTCAAGCCCTAACACTAAAAAACTTTGAAACCCCTACAGGCCTAATCCAAACTGTTTACCACACTAAACCCCTGAAGTCCTATGCCTAAAAGCCCTTAGGACGCTCAAAACCCAAACCCAAAGCAATAGGATTCTCAAAGCCCTAAACAACAAAATTAGGACGCTTAAAGCCGTAACCCCAAAATTAAGATGCTCAAAACACAAAGCCAACCCAAAACACTAGGATGCTCAAAACCCTCACTCAAAACATCAGGACGCTCAAAACTCTAACCCAAAAATTATGATGCTTAACACCCAAAGCCCTAACACAAAACATTAGGACGCTCAACACCGTGACCCAAAAAATTAGGACGCTCGAAACTCTAACCCCGGAGAACCTAACCTGAAAAAAAAAAAAAAAAAAAAGAAAAAAGCATCTTAACACACTAACCCTAAATAACTGACCAAAAATAAAACCCTAGGACCCTAACCCTAAAAAACATAGCAACACTCCATCCCAAAAAAAACTCTAAAACCCTAACACGCTAACCCTGAAACCCTTAAAACCCTGTTAAAACTCCAACTCAGTTATACACCAGTTACGTCCCTTAAAGGATATAGAGGAGCTCTCTCAGATACGGCAGTCCTACTTCTCATGAACGCAGCCGGAGGTTGGTCTCATTCTGGTGCTCATGGTGGTGGAAGCAGGGGCAACGGTGGTACTGCTGGAGATACCACAGCCACCTGTGGTGGTTTTACCGTGCTGGGCAGCTAAACCCCACAACCGCTCTCTCACTCCCCCTCCTTTAGATGAGGAGGGGAAGAAGTAAAGCAAAGAACAACTCACGGGTTGAGATAAGGAGCTGGGAAGAGAGAGGTATTGCAGCAGGTACACTGTGGCTGTGAGGTGCCTCAGAGTGTGCTTTTCCCTTTTCTCTGCAGGTGCTTTGTGCAGTCGTGGACAGGGAAGGGATATCTTCCTGTGATGGAGCTCTGAGGGAAGGTGAGTGTTGCCAGCCTGGTCATGCCTTTTTTTTTTACTGTATTTTGTGTAGTTAAGTAACTGCAGTGACAACTGCACCCCTAAAGTACCTTCTACATCTGCTCATCGCTCACCTTCCAAAAAGCAGCTCTGGTCGTCAAGTCCCATGTTGTACACTGTGTTTCAGCTTTAACAACTGAAAACAGACACAAGATGATCATTCAGCTGCCAGCATTAGCACCCATCCCTCCACAACAAAAGGGACACCATTTACGATATTATCGTTTCAAAACAGCAGCCCCCTTGCCTCAGCACCTCAGAAGTAGATCAGACCAGTCACCAAGTTGCCTACCGAGTGCTGAACAGTTCCAGAAGGAGCTCTTTCCTGTGACAGGTTCCTCCTAGGGTTTACCCTCTAATGGGGACAGGAAAGAAATAAAAATAAAAAAAAAAAAAAAAAGCAAAACCCCATATCTGTAAGCTTTCAAGATTCGACAGACCTCCTCAAGCACACCGTTCAAGCACTATGCAAACAGCTGCTAACAAGCAGATATACTCTCCCAAATCCACAGCGGCCAACCACCAGAGATGACTGTGCCAGCTGCCCTTCAGTACGTGCCCAGAGGCAGACCTGATGTCTTTGCCAAAACAGTCCAGACAATGTATTAGTACACCCATGCACTGCCACGTTAGCTGTCATCACTAACTGCCAGGCAGGACAGCTCCAGACCAAGCATGTACACGCACAGGCACGCCACAAACACTACAAACAAAACACACAACACAAGGCACAAGAAAAAGTGACCCCCAGAGGGAAGCCCTATGGCAACAGCAAGTCAGAACAGGTGCTCTGCACCAGACCCTACCAGAGACTCAAATGTCACGACACGCGACTGGAAGCAACTGCCAGAACTGGGATGATGGAGGCCTAAAAAGCCTGCCTTCAGGACAAGAGACCAGAAGGATGGGGACTGAAAACCCCCCAAGGCGACACTTAGGAAATCAATTCCCAAGCAAAGGCTCCTGATGCGACCCAGATGACTTCTGCAAGAGTGAGAATGGAAAGAGATGTGCATCATATTCGGTTTGAGATCATAAGACCTGAAACAGATCTGCACTTCAAGCAGCGACTGCAAGACACGAAGCGCCCGGATCAGAGTCATGATGACGAAACAAGCATTGAGGCCCTTCAGCACAGCTACCAAGTCGCCTGTCTAGTCAGTCCAGTCTAAAAAGCCAGGAGGATATCAAGACCCGAGAAGCACAGAACAGACACTGCAGAAGCAACACTACAGGACAGACGAACAGAAGGAAACTGTCCTGCCTGGCACACGCACGCACGCTACAAAATAATCCCGCTGCTTCTATTAGGCTGGTGACCCAGCCACAAGCAGCCTGAACGTGACCCAGCCTGAAACACCCTCACAGTGGCACCAAGTCTATTCAGCCAGCACGCTCCATGCTGCTCTGGCTCCCAGCTCCCATTAGCCACCCCAGATATGCAATTACCAGGTGCCCCCCCAACTTAGCTCTCAGGTTGCTGCATGGTAAAGTTTCTCTGCCTCAAGAAATGCACAGGCACTGATTGTCATCTTAGTCAATTGCCAGGCTCGTCATCAGCTGCAAAAACAGAGTAACAGCATTCACTAGCACGCCGGCCATGATGCCCACCTTCTCCACAATGCTGACTACTGCTGATGCAACATACGGTTCTGCTCACCTCTTCCTCTCCGAATCCAAGCTCCAACAGTGCAGCCAGTATCATCCACACCACCTGGGAAAACAAAGGGATTAAATGATCGTTGCATTCACAACAAGTCAGCCAATGGTGTTGTTTTTTTTTTTTTGTTTTTTTTTTTTGTGTGTGTGTGTGTGTGTGTGTGTTTCCTGTATTTATTTTTTAGTCTGCTTTAGCTCAACAGCATGCAGACTGCAGATAAGAAAACTGGGGTGTTTCTAGAAGCAATAATCCCCATGCTTTTGCTGCAGCTTTGAATATTAAAAGGACAACACGACCCAGCAAGTAACTGGAACTTTCTTAACTGGAATTAGCTCAAACTTTTATTCACATTGAAAGAAAAATCTAGGTGCAGAACAGATTATACACCAACAAAATTAATTCCATTTCGTCCCCAGAAAAAATCACATACTCTCATCCCCTCCTGTACCTCAGCCGTCTGCCTACCCCACGTGGCACATGCTTCCATCTGTTCTCTTCACCCACTTATAGCACCTCTAAAAGGCAAACTGGAATTTTACTCTATTGGATGTAGGAAAATAACTGCAGTGACAATCGCGCCCCAAAAACAACAGTTACCTCTGCTCATCAAGCACCAGAGTCACTGCAGAGGCAGCTTGGGTCGAGAGGTCCTGCACTGCGCACTGCGTTTCAGCCTAAACAAAAGAAAAACACAGGCAGAAGATAAACATTCAGCTGCCAGCAGTAGCACCCATCCCTCAACAACATAAGCGACCCCAGCTTTACTTTTATCCTTTCAAAACAGCAGGCCACTTGCCTCTGTACCTGAAAATTACGTCCAAGCTTGAAAGGAGCGGCCAACATCACCCACGCCACCTGGGAACACAAAAGGATACAATGACCACTGTGCTTGCAAGCACCCACCTGCCACACTGCTCCTCTATCCCAAACAGCCTCACCTCCAACCCTCACAGGAAAACACCTGAGCGTCTTCCCTTCGCTTCGGATAAGGCATGACCAGGCTGGCAACACTCACCTTCCCTCAGAGCTCCATCACAGGAAGATATCCCTTCCCTGTCCACGACTGCACAAAGCACCTGCAGAGAAAAGGGAAAAGCACACTCTGAGGCACCTCACAGCCACAGTGTACCTGCTGCAAGACCTCTCTCTTCCCAGCTCCGGTACTTCAGCTGCTCACCAGCTCTAACTCAGATTCTTCACTCACAGCACCACAGCAAAATCTGCCCAGGCCACACAACAGACACTACACAGGCTACATTGCCTAAGACACACAAGCTGGAACATTCCCACCCAACAATCAGTCGCATTGCATAGGAAGGCTGCCGTACTCTCCGAGAAACCAAACCTACCAGTCCTGAAGAGCTCCCCACCTCCTCCTGCCAACCACGCTCAGCAGACACACTATTTACTGCTCAGAAAAACAGAAAGTTAAAACATACACACACACAAAAAACAACTGAGCTCCACAATGCCAAAAAGACATGCACACACAGCAGCCCCGGCAGGGGTAATCAAACGCACCCTTTGCAGATGAAAGAGGTGACTCTGATACAACTCTGCTCAGTCTCTTGGTAATGCTGTATCTACGTTGTCAAGCCACAGGTACCATGCAATCAAGCTGGTTTTAGTCCTCTGGAGAATTACACAACTGGGTTTATACATCTAGAGATTAAAGTGCAACTCAAAAACAGAGGAGTATCCCACCATCCTAAGAAATAATAAGCCACAAACCTCTACTAAACATCCCTCTATCAAGTTAATTCGAAGCACTTAAAATTCTAGAAATCTATAAACTCCAGCCTGCCTAGAGAACCCTGCAATTGACTGAAGGAAAAACCAAAGCACTTACCCCAAGGAGCAGCCCAGGCAGAAGGAGCTCTCTAATGCCATGCCTGGGGCTAATATACCATTTAGCCCCGCGCAGCACCCAAACCCAATCACCTGGAAAAGGGGAGGGGCAAAGCACAAGGAAGTAGAAAGAAAGCAGGAGCAGCAGCAGCAGCTGTTTTTTATTATTTTCTTTGTTTTTTGTGTGTGTGTGTTTTTTTTTTTTTTTTTTTAAGATCTGGTTTACTTGAAAAACATGCAGAGAGCAGACAGGTGACCTGGGGTGTTTCTAGAAGCAACAATCCCCATGCTTTTGCTGCAGTTTTTAACATTGAAAGGACAATACAAGCAGGCCAGTAACTGGAACTTTTTCAATTAGAATTAGCTCAACAGGTTCATCATCACTTGCAAAAACAGAGAACCAGCATTCACTAGCACGCCAGCCCTGACACCCACCATCTCCGCAACGCTGACTACTACTAATGCAAAACGCTACTGTGCAATACTTCTCTGTTACCAGCTCCTTTACCTCAGCTGCTCATTACACTTACCTAAGAAATGGGCCCGGGCGGCGCCGCGCCGAAATGGGCCCGGGCGGCGCCGCGCCGAAATGGGCCCGGGCGGCGCCGCGCCGAAATGGGCCCGGGCGGCGCCGCGCCGAAATGGGCCCGGGCGGCGCCGCGCCGAAATGGGCCCGGGCGGCGCCGCGCCGAAATGGGCCCGGGCGGCGCCGCCGAAATGGGCCCGGGCGGCGCCGCGCCGAAATGGGCCCGGGCGGCGCCGCGCCGAAATGGGCCCGGGCGGCGCCGCGCCGAAATGGGCCCGGGCGGCGCCGCGCCGAAATGGGCCCGGGCGGCGCCGCGCCGAAATGGGCCCGGGCGGCGCCGCGCCGAAATGGGCCCGGGCGGCCGCGCCGAAATGGGCCCGGGCGGCGCCGCGCCGAAATGGGCCCGGGCGGCGCCGCGCCGAAATGGGCCCGGGCGGCGCCGCGCCGAAATGGGCCCGGGCGGCGCCGCGCCGAAATGGGCCCGGGCGGCGCCGCGCCGAAATGGGCCCGGGCGGCGCCGCGCCGAAATGGGCCCGGGCGGCGCCGCGCCGAAATGGGCCCGGGCGGCGCCGCGCCGAAATGGGCCCGGGCGGCGCCGCGCCGAAATGGGCCCGGGCGGCGCCGCGCCGAAATGGGCCCGGGCGGCGCCGCGCCGAAATGGGCCCGGGCGGCGCCGCGCCGAAATGGGCCCGGGCGGCGCCGCGCCGAAATGGGCCCGGGCGGCGCCGCGCCGAAATGGGCCCGGGCGGCGCCGCGCCGAAATGGGCCCGGGCGGCGCCGCGCCGAAATGGGCCCGGGCGGCGCCGCGCCGAAATGGGCCCGGGCGGCGCCGCGCCGAAATGGGCCCGGGCGGCGCCGCGCCGAAATGGGCCCGGGCGGCGCCGCGCCGAAATGGGCCGGGCGGCGCCGCGCCGAAATGGGCCCGGGCGGCGCCCGCCGAAATGGGCCCGGCGGCGCCGCGCCGAAATGGGCCCGGGCGGCGCCGCGCCGAAATGGGCCCGGGCGGCGCCGCGCCGAAATGGGCCCGGGCGGCGCCGCGCCGAAATGGGCCCGGGCGGCGCCGCGCCGAAATGGGCCCGGGCGGCGCCGCGCCGAAATGGGCCCGGGCGGCGCCGCGCCGAAATGGGCCCGGGCGGCGCCGCGCCGAAATGGGCCCGGGCGGCGCCGCGCCGAAATGGGCCCGGGCGGCGCCGCGCCGAAATGGGCCCGGGCGGCGCCGCGCCGAAATGGGCCCGGGCGGCGCCGCGCCGAAATGGGCCCGGCGGCGCGCGCCGAAATGGGCCCGGGCGGCGCCGCGCCGAAATGGGCCCGGGCGGCGCCGCGCCGAAATGGGCCCGGGCGGCGCCGCGCCGAAATGGGCCCGGCGGTCCGAATGGACGGGCGGCGCCGCGCCGAAATGGGCCTCGGGCGGCGCCGCGCCGAAAGGGCCCGGGCGGCGCGCGCCGAAATGGGCACGGGCGGACGCCGCGCCGAAATGGGCCCGGGCGGCGCCGCGCCGAAATGGGCCCGGGCGGCGCCGCGCCGAAATGGGGCACCGGGCGGCGCCGCGCCGAAATGGGACCGGGCGGCGCGCGCCGAAATGGGCCCGGGCGGCGCCGCGCCGAAATGGGCCGGGCGGCGCCGCGCCGAAATGGGCCCGGGCGGCGCAGCGCCGGAAACCGAAATGGGCCCGGGCGGCGCCGCGCCGAAATGGGCCCGGCGGCGCCGCGCCGAAATGGGCCCGGGCGGCGCCGCGCCGAATGGGCCCGGGCGGCGCCGCGCCGAAATGGGCCCGGGCGGCGCCGCGCCGAAATGGGCCCGGGCGGCGCCGCGCCGAATGGGCCCGGGCGGCGCCGCGCCGAAAGGGCCCCCTCATAAACGTACTTCTAATACGTAAATTCAAGGACATAAAGCCTAGAGACTGCAAGGTCTAAACACTCAGGACAGACAACACACAGGCAAAAGCTCCAGAAATATAACAAACTGTCCCTAAGCTTGAAACAGACTACCCCTTACATGGCCACTGCTGCCATTTTCAGACACATGCTCACACAGGGAGCTTCCATGATACACTTCTCCTAAACCCTGCTCCATCTCTTTAACAGCAAGGTTTTGACTTTGATAATATTTGACATACAGGCAAAGAATCACAGAAAGCCCCGTAATCTGCAAAAATCAGAAGGGACCCAGAACCTCAAAGCAAACACACAAAGTAACATCACCATACTATCCGTAAAACTGCCATAACAAATACTCACCTGAGGAAGAGCTGCGTGCAATACAGGCACCTACCACTAGATTCCTTTACTATGACAGATCCTGCCAGTTTTCACCTCAAAAAGATAGAAGTACCAGTTTCTACTTCAAAATGCATCAGTCCATAGACTCTGACCCACCTAATGAACCCTCCAAACAACTGAAGGAAAAACAAAGCACTTACCAAAAAGTGCAGCCCAGGCAGAAGGAGCTCTCCCATGGCATACGTGTAACTCAGTTACCATTACCTCCCACATGGAACCTGAAGCCAACCACCTGGGAAAGTGCAGGGAGAAAGCACAAAAAAAAAAAAAGCAGAAAGAGGAGGAGCAGCAGCTGTGGTTTATTTACTTATTTATAAGGCTTAGCTCAACAGCAAGCAGAGTGCAGACAGAAGAACTAGGGTGTTCTAGAAACAGAAATCCCCATGATTTTGCTGCAGCTTTTAATATTAAATGGACAATACAACCAAGTAAGCAACTTATTTCTTTTTCCATCTGGAATTAGCTCAAACATTTATTACATAGAAAGAAAAATTTGGAGCAGAACAGATTACACGCCCAAAGAAGAATTCAATTCCGTTCCACTCACAGGAAAAATCACTACTTCAGTAGGCTATCTGAGAACCAAATGGCTATGCTGATGGGTCAAAACACACTATGGGACACTGTGGCCAGGCCCTCCGCTGCACCCACTTAAAACCCATCCCTACACTCACCGAGGTGCAACCCCAACACAAAAAAAACAGACACAGCATTTCAGCTTCAACAGCTTTGGGAACTGCTGAAAGCATGCTTCATCCTCAGCGAGGCGTGCTCAGGTTACACAGGACAGGGCTTCAGGCACCACTTTGCTTACCAAAGAAGACCGCCATCAGCACCTGCTTTGTTCCGATTCTCAGAACTAACATCACAGCCCACATTGCCTGCCTGTGACCAAAGAGAAAGCAGCCATACCCTTTTCAAGCCATCCCTGCACGTGTTGTTCCTTGATCATCTGCAGCCTCTTCTCAAATCCTCAACCGCTTCTGTGGAGCCTGCCATGGCACCTGCAAAGCAAGATGGATACCCTTCACAGTCACCTCATGCTACTTGGCTGTTCTGCTCCAATCCAGCTCACAACCAGCCCGCCCTTCTCATGCTGCTCTTCAGAGTGCAGCTTGGCCCCACTCAGCCTGTGCAAGACACCTGTGAAACAAAAAGAAAAGCATAGGCTGAAGCAGCATCCAAAGCCACAGCACAGCTACGACAGTTCTCTCACCTTCTGCTCCCTTACCTCGGCCCCCTCACCTGCCCTCGAGGCAGACACTTCCATCTACTCTCTTAGGCCAGCTACAACACCTCCGAAATATAAACAGGATTTTTACTGTATTTTGTGTAGTTAAGTAACTGCAGTGACAACTGCACCCCTAAAGTACCTGCTACATCTGTTCATTGCTCAGCTGCCAGCATTAGCACCCATCCCTCCACAACAAAAGGGACCCCATTTACAACATTATCATTTCAAAACAGCAGCCCCTGCCTCAGCACCTCAGAAGTAGATCAAGCCAGTCACCGAGTTGCTACCGAGTGCTGAACAGTTCCAGAAGGAGCTCTTTCCTGTGACAGGTTCCTCCTAGGTTTACACTCTAATGGGGACAGGAAAGAAATAAAAATAAACATTTCAAAACCCCACATCTGTAAGCTTTCAAGATTCAACAACCTCCTCAAGCACACCGTTCAAGCACTATGCACACAGCTGCTCACAAGCAGATATACTCTCCC